AGGAGTGTGTGTGTTGGTGGTGTTGGAGGGGTGTGTGTTGGAGTGTGTTGGTGGTGTTGGAGGGTGTGTGTTGGAGGGGTGTTGGAGGGTGTGTGTTGGGAGGTGTTGGCGGGTGTGTGTTGGAGGGTGTGTGTTGGAGGTGTTGAGGGTGTGTGTGGTGGTGTTGGAGGGTGTGTGTTGGTGGTGTTGGAGGGTGTGTTGGGGGTGTGTGTTGGAGGGTGTGTGTTGGAGGGTGTGTGTTGGAGGTGTTGGAGGGTGTGTGTTGAGGGTGTGTGTTGGTGGTGTTGAGGGTGTTTGTTGGAGGGTGTGTGTTGGTGGTGTTGGAGGTGTGTGTTGGAGGGTGTGTGTTGGTGGTGTTGAGGGTGTGTGTTGGAGGTGTTGAGGGTGTGTGTTGGTGGTGTTGGAGGGTGTGTGTTGGAGGTGTTGGAGGGTGTGTTGGTGGTGTTGAGGGTGTGTGTTGGTGGTGTTGGAGGGTGTGTTGGAGGGTGTGTGGCTGGAGGGTGTGTTGATGGTGTTGGAGGGTGTGTTGGAGGTGTTGAGGGTGTGTGTTGGTGGTGCTGGAGGGTGTGTTGGTGGTGTGTGTTGGTGGTGTTGAGGGTGTGTGTTGGTGGTGTTGAGGGTGTGTGTTGAGGGTGTGTTGGTGGTGTTGGAGGGTGTGGTTGGAGGTGTTGGAGGGTGTGTTGAGGTGTTGGCGGGTGTGTGTTGGTGGGTGTGTGTTGGTGGTGTTGGAGGGGGTTGGTGGTGTTGGAGGGTGGTGTGTTGGAGGGTGTGTGTTGAGGTGTGTGTTGGAGGTGTTGGAGGGTGTGTGTTGAGGGTGTGTTGGAGGTGTTGGAGGGTGTGTGTTGGTGGTGTTGGAGGGTGTGTTGGTGGTGTTGAGGGTGTGTGTTGGAGGGTGTGTTGGAGGGTGTGTGTTGGAGGGTGTGTGTTGGAGGTGTTGGAGGGTGTGTGTTGAGGGTGTGTGTTGGAGGTGTTGAGGGTGTGTGTTGGTGGTGTTGGAGGGTGTGTTTGGTGTTGGGGTGTGTTGGAGGTGTGTGGAGGTGTGTTGGAGGGTGTGTGTTGGTGGTGTTGAGGGTGTGTGTTGGTGGTGTTGGAGGGTGTGTGTTGGTGGTGTTGGAGGGTGTGTGTTGGTGGTGTTGGAGGGTGTGTGTTGGTGGTGTTGGAGGGTGTGTGTTGGTGGTATTGAGGTGTGTGTTGGTGGTGTTGGAGGGTGTGTGTTGGTGGTGTTGAGGTGTGTTCCTGACTCACACACACACACACACAGGAATTAAGACAACACGCATCTCCCTAATACCTCACACCTTTCTGCTTTCTCACTCCATATTTTAAAATGTTATGTAACGTAATGTTGAAGGGATACAACTTTGCTTATTTATACTTATACTTATCACAATCTCCCTAAAAATACTTTAGGTTTTGTGTTTATTCAAGACATCTTCAGGTCATGAGACCCACTAATCCCCCACCCAAGAAAGGGTCACCTGACATTCCATCCCTGCAAATTCAGTTGCCTCTGAAGATGTCTTGAATAAACACGAAAGCTAAGGTGCTCCTGTGTATACTTAGTTGACCAAGAGCTCACTTAGCAGATACTGTATTTCGATTTAACAAGCAGGGGTGGGCTTGAATTACTTCATTAAATCGAGAAAATACAGTACTGTATTAAACCTTACCTCCTTCATTACAGGATGTCACTGTTAAAATTTTATTTCGTAAACATCTGAGATTTTATTCAGCACTAAGACCCCTCATATCCAAGGGGTTAAAAACCTATTTGATCAAACATACAATAATAAAACTACACCCAGTGTTTAATGCTTCTCCATGAAATTAAACATTTAAAACGTATTTAAAGGTTTTTCATTAGAGGTCACAACCTCAAGGTTAAGCCAGAAACTGTTAGAATTATGAACTGTTGTACAGTAATAACCTGTCATTGTAAATCACTCCCATAATTAGTTTTTCTCTTCCTTCCGTGATTTCTACCCACACAGACTCGGTTCCTATTTCACCCTTTATTGAATTATTAGTACAACATTTTAATGTATCCTTGACGAAGAGTGCGACCCTCCTGTCCTTGTGAAAAAGGTTGTACCCTTCTATGTGTACTCAGATAAAAAATTTTGCTCGCCAGATTCATCCATCAGTTTGGTGATTGCTATGAAGTCTACATTTCGGTAAATACAACCGCCTCAGCAAGTCTATTTTATTTCTAACGCCCTACTGTTTGTATAGGAGTACATATGCTACCCTCATATGGAGGAGACAGAGGCTTTATTGGATGAAACTGAAGAGAGTGA